AATGGAATCACATGCTGTTTCATCTTTTTGTGACTGGGATATCTTACTTAGCATAATGTTCTCAAAGCATCCATGTTGCAGCATGTAACAACATATGCTTCCCTTTTAGGGCTGAAAAATATTACATTGATGTATACACAACATTTTCTATATCGGTTCATTTGTCAATAGACGTTTAGATTGTTTCTTCCTTTTGGCTGTAGTGAATAACACTGCAATAAACATGGGTGCACAAATACCTCTTCAAGATCCTATTTTCAGTTCTTTTGGACACATAGCCAGAAGTGAAATTGCTGGATCATATGGTAATTATGTTTTAATTTTTTGAGGAACTGCCATATTGTTTCCATAGCAGCTACACCATTTTACATTCCTACCGATAGTGAACAAAGGTTCTACTTTACCTATATACTCACCAACACATCTTTTATTTATTTGTTTATTTATTCATTCATCCATTCATTTATTTTTGATAATACCCATCCTAAATTGTGTAAAGTGATCTCTTATTGTGGTTTTGTTTTTCATTTCTCTAAAGATGAGTGATATTGAGTATCATTTCGTATGTTTGTGGCCATTCGTATGTCTATTTGAAGAAATATCTATTCAGATCTTTTGCCCATTTCTTAATTGGGTTATCCGTGTGTTTTTTATTGAGTTGAAGGAGTTCCTTATATATTGTGAATATTAACTTCTTAACAGACATAATATTTGAAAATATTTTCTGTCATTCTTTAGGTTGCTTTTTCATTCAGTTGATTATTTCTTTTACTGTTTAGAAGCTTTTTAATTTTATGTAGTCCCACTTGTCTATTTTTGGTTTTGTTGCTTTTGATTTTGGAGTCATATCCAAGAAATTGTTGCCAAGACTAATGTCAAGCAGATTTTCCGTATGTTTTATTCTAGGAGTTTTACAGTTTCAGGTCTTATGTTTATGTCTTTATTCTATTTTGACTTGATTTTGTCAACTGCGTAAGAGAAAAGTTCAATTTTATTCTTTTTCACGTGGATATCCAGATTTCCCCAACATAATTTGTTGAAGAAACTATCCTTTCCCCATTGTGCATCCTTGCCATCCTAGTTGGAAATCATTTGATCATATATACAAGGGTTTATTTATGGGCTCTCTATTCTATTTCATTGGTCTATATGTCTGTCTTTATTCCAGTACCACATTGTTTTGATTACTGTAGCTTTATAATACATCTTGGAGACAGGAGTGTGAGCCCTCCAAGTTTATTCTTTTTAAGATTGTTTTGGCTATTCAGGATCCTTTATGATTCCATATGAATGTTAGGATTGTTTTTTCTAGTTCTGTTAAAAACATCATTGGGATTTTGATAGGAATTGCATTGCATTGTAGATCACTCTTGGTAGCAATGCTGTCTTAACAATATTAAATTTTCCAGTCAATAAACACTGGATTGCTTTCCATTTATTTGTATCTGCTTTAATTTATTTTAGCATTGTTTTGTAATTTTCAAAGTACAAGCTTTTTACCTCCTTGGTTAGGTTTATTCCTATGTATTTTATTATTTTTGATGCTATTGTTTTATGGACTGAATTGTCTCCCTCCCCAACCCCCCAAAAAAAAATCATATAGTGAAGCCCTAACCCCTGATGTGATTGTACTTGGAGACAGGGCCGATAAGGAGGTAATTAGGATTAAATGAGATTATAAGGGTAAAGATCTAATCCAATAACATAGATATCCTTATAAGAAGAGGAAGAGAGAGCAGAGCTCCCTCTCTCTGCTTGTATGCACTAAGGAAAAACTATGTGAGGACGTAGTGAGAAGGTGGCCTTCTACAAGTTAGGAAGGGAGACTTTTCCAGAAACTGAAAAAGCAGAACCTTGTTCTCACACTTCCATCAGCCAGAACTGTGAGAAATAATTTCTGTTGTTTAAGTCACCCATTCTGCGGTATTTTATTGTAGCATTCTGAGTAGATCAATACATGTTGCAAACAGAGTTGTTTACTTAATTTCTTTTCTTGGATAGTTAACATTAGCATATGGAAATGCAACGGATTTCTTTGTTGCTTTTGTATCCTGAAAGTTTGGTGAATTCATTCATTAGTTCTAATAGTTTTTTTTTGTGTGTGGAATCCTTAAGATTTTATACATATAATATCCTGTCATCTGTGAACAGAGATAATTTTATTTCTTCCTTTCCAATTCAGATGCTTTCTATTTCTTTTTCTTGACTAATAGCTCTGTGAAGACTTCCAGGGTTATGGTAAATAGAAGTGCAGAGAGTTGACATCTTTCTCTTGCTTCTCATCTTGGAGGAAAAGCTTTCAGCATTTTTACTGTTGACTATGATGTTTACTGTGGCCTTTATTATGTTGAGGTAGTTGCATTTTATTCCTAGTTTTTGGGTGTTTTTATCAGGAAGGATGTTGAATTTTGTCAAATGTTTTTCTGAAGCAGTTGAGATGATCATTTTTTTGTTTTGTTTTTATCCTTCATTCTCTTAATGGGATGCATTACATTGATTAATTTTCATATATTGAAACATCCTTGTATTCCAGGAGTAAATCCTACCTAGTCATAGTATATAATTCTTTTAATATGCTGTTGAATTGTATTTGCTGGCATTTTGTTGAGGATTTTTGCATCAATATTTATCAACTGCAGTTTTCTTTTATCATGGTGTCATTACTGGACTTTGGTATTAGGGTAATGCTGGCCTCCTATATTGAGTTTGGGAGCATTCCCTCCTCTTCAATATTTTGGAAGAGTTTAAGGAAGATTAACGGTAATTCTTCTTAAATGTTTGGTAGAACTCTCTAGTGAAACCATCTGGTTCTGGACTTGCCTTTGTTGGGAAATTTTTGTTACTGATTTAATCTTACTAATTATAGAGTTGTTCTAATTATAGAGTTGTTCAGATTTTCAATTTCTTCATGCTTTAACATTGGTAGGTTGTGTGTTACTAGGAATTTATTAATTTCTTTTAGGTTTTCCAATTTACTTGCATATAAGTGTTCATGGTAGTCTCTTTCAATCCTTTGCATTTCTGTAACACTGATAATCCATCCTCTCTTTTATTCCTATTTCCGTTTATGTGAGTCTTCTCTGTTTTTTCCTTAGTTAATCTACCTAAGCTCTTGTCATTTTTGTTAATCTTTTCAAAAAACCTACTCTTCCTCTCATTGATTTCTTCTATTATTTTTCTATTCTCTATTTCATTTATCTCTACTCTCATTTTTTACTTCATTTATCCCAGTAGCTTTGGGTTTTATTTGTTCTTTTTTCTCATTACTTGAGGTATAAAGTTAGGTTGCTTATTTGATATCTTTCTTCTTTATTATAAGCATTCACAGCTATCAATTTCTCTCTTAGCACTGCTTTTGATGAATCCTATAGGTTTTGGCATGTTATATTATTATTTTCATTTGTCTCGAGATATTTTATAACTTCTTTTATAATTTCTTCTTTGTCTCATTGGTTGTTTAATTTCTTTTTGACCATCTGACTAAATAGTTTCAAATGACCTATCTTCACATATGCTGATTCTTTCTTCTACTTAGTCAAGTCTGTTGTTAAATTCTTCTGATGAATCTTTCAAATCAGTTATATATTTTTCAGCCCCAGAATTTCTGTTTGGTTAGTGTTTATAGTTTCTATCTCTTTGTTGATATTCTCCTTTTTTCATCCATCATTTTTCTGATTTCAATCAATTGTCCATTTGTGTTATCTTTTAACTCATTGAACCTCTTTAAAAGAGTTGTTTAAAATTCTTTGTCAGGCAATTCAGTAATCTGTGTTTCTTTATGGTCAGTTTCTAGAGATTTATTTTGTTCTTTTAATTGGCCCATGTTTTCCTGATTCTTTGTATGCCTGTTATCTTTTGTTACAACTTGAGCATTTGAAATAACAGCCACCTCTCCCAATCTTTCTGGACTGGTTTCACGAAGGGAAAGATCTTCACCAATCACTTGGCTAGAGACTCTGGGGACTGCTCAAACTTTTCTGGGGATGCATCTTTTCTAGACTTACATGTGCCTTTATTATGATATATTTGTCTTTTTTTAATTGTCTTGATTTCCCTGAGTGGCTCACCTCTGTTTCTTCTCAGGAGCTTCAGTTTCATTTTCTATTGTATTCTGCTGCCCATAATCTCTTCCTCCCTCTGGTGCCAGGCTGTAGAACTGCAGACTCACTGCTGCTCTAATGCACTGCAGCACTCACCTCTGTTTCCAGCAGCCTCCAACCTAGTATCCAAAGACTACGACTGTCCCTGTCAGCATCTGAGCCAAGGGAGCCAGAATCATCCCCTGGGAAGCTTCTAGACAAGGCAAAGTACTGGATTTAGATTCCACTCTTTTGTTTTGTCTTGAGGGAGCAGCTGGAAGTTGGGAGACTTCCTTCCAATTGCACCAACATTTGCTAGGTAGAAGAAAGAGTAGGGGAAAGAAAAATACAGCAAAGTCTTCTACATAGTGCAGTCGCTTCTCTTGCTTATACAGTCCCTTAACTGGTTTCTAGTGTTTTCATGAAGGAATTTTGGTCCATATATCACTGTTAATCCAGTGTCTCCAGGAAGCAATGAGGACTTGGAGCTTCTTAGTCTGCCATCTTGCTAATGTCACTCTGGATAGGTCATTTCTTGAGTCTATCCTCTCATAGATTCCTAAAGTGAAGTTTGTTAGAAAAATAAAGGCTTATTTTAAGAACCATTAGCCCATAGCCTTTATTATTGAAGATAAGCTTAGCTCCCTATTAGACTCTTGGCTCTCATTTCTATTTCTTGAGAATCTTTTAAGTCATGCTCCACCGTCTTCCAGCATTAAATGTTTCTCTAGAGAATCTGAAGCACATTAAAATTTTCTCCTCATAAGTGAATTTTTTTTTTCTGTTTTTCCTAATAATTTTATTCCTAGTTTTATACCTTATAAGTTTATTAAGAAATATATTAGTGTTTATCAGAATGGTTCCATGACACATAAAACACAATTTCAATACTTAAAGCCAAGCTTTCTTTTTTAATATCAGGAAACCTGCCTTGGATTACGTCTTAGTTTGAATTTCCCTACAAGCAGACCCATAGACATGGACTTGGATGCAGATGATCTCAGAATACAGAGGTAAGAGAGTAAAGAAGGTAAATCCGTGAATTAAGAAAAGACAATAAATGTGTGTTAATGAGCAGGTTACCATTGTAATTGTGGCTTAGTCTTATGAAAACTCTCAGAAGAACCATAAAAAAACGTAGAGAGATGAGAAAACTGACATGTTTACCCATCAACTCCAGTACCTCATTGGTTGGAATTTGCTCTTAGCAGTGTTGTGACTCAGGATTTCAAGGCTGAACAAGTTTCCAAGGAAGGGCTGAGCAAGTTTCCAAGGATAGCTTTCAAGCTCTCAGTAAAAGTAGAAGAAAGATGCAGGTGACTAAGCTGGTCTGCTAACAACTGAAGTGCTGGGAATTGTCCACTGTAGTTGCAGAATACTCAGAGGTGCACAAAGGGATATATGGTTTCTTGTCAACCATGTTTGCTATAGTCCATTCCTGTCACTCAGGACTGCTCATGGTCCACTGTGAATCCACTCTGTTAGTATACCTCACATTGGTAGCCAACTGCAATTTCTGCAAGTAAGTGTTAAAAACAGAATATGTATAACATGCTGTAGTCCTACTGCTGCAGTTGGTCCTCTTATTTTCATCGTTTCCTTCCTATATCACACACTATAGATTTTCTTGTTTCAGCAAGTTTTTCCACTTATTTAGTTTGCTTTTCCAATCAAGATATTCTTTCCTAAGAGATTTGAGTCCCTGGAAATCTTGATTTCATCAAGCTCCTGTTGTTCTAATTTCCATTTTACTCTTTTTACCAGGCATAAAACCAGCAAAAGTTACCTGGGTTCCACACAAACTTATTCAGATCCCACTAGGTAGCAACACTTTGTCTTCTGATTATCTGTACCAGCATAAAACTCTTCTTTGCCCAGTGATCTACCAAAGCGACCAGGTGGCCATTGTAGCTTCAGTGGAAAACTTACTGTATATTCTAGAGAAAGCATTCCTTCTCTCCAATCCCCAAATGTGAGTGCCTCTAATTATGTTGAGCCTAAAACTATAGACTGAGTAGCACAAATTCCCCAAGTGAGTCACTGGGAGTAATTGGGAGAGGGGCCAATCCTTTTTCTACCCTTTTGTTCCTAAACCAAGGAGACTCATAGAAAACTAAACACTTGTAGTAAATTTAGTTCCAACCCACCTACTGCATCCTGAAAGACAGTGCTACACTCCACAAGGCAGCATCTTCAAGATGATGTCTTTATTGAACCTTTAATACATTTCTACATTCCACTATGACAGCAGCTTCTGGAGGATGACAGCAGATTCCATCATCATATATTCATCGATCATGCCTCCATCACCATAAAATGAACCCTTCATTCAAAGACGATGCTACATATGATTTCATGACATTAAATAAGAATGTTCACAAGCTCCTTAGTAATGCACTGGTAGAGGCATTCTGGGCAATGGAGATAAATAGTACCCACAGATTCATCAGATTAAGAATCAGTTGTAGTAAGGGCAAAGTGCTGGCTTCCCTATGGTAAAAGAAGTCTGATGTAGTTAACATCTCATGCAGTGTTTTTTGGTCTTCTTGAGGTATGGACCATATATACATCTCAGCATTAGTCTTGATGTTATGCAGATGTTGAGCAGATGCAGTAGCTAGATCAGTCATGGTAAGTAAAGATCTGTGTTGCTGAATTCACTTATAGACAGAGACTGGCTCACTTCCAGTGTAAGTATTCTGTGTGATAACTGCTCACCGACTTCTCTGCATTGACAGGTTCTGGTGGCTGTTGATATGAGATACAGAGATCCTCACACAGGGAGTTTGTATGACTCTCATAGGTCCATGCACATACCTCTTCCTCAGACAACTTTTTCTCTGATATTATAAGCTTTCTCCTTCGAGCCTTTCACCAACAAGCTAAACTATTCACTACTAACATTGAGTCCCTATAATCTTCACCTTAGACCACTATGCCTTAATACTTTGTTTTACTACTCAAGTTCTACACACTGACAGAATTTCCTCTCACAACTGTCTTTTAAGGCCATCCATAACTAAAAAAGTGCCTTTTTTAAGGCATTCAATAACTAAGCGTTGGAAGGTCCTTCTTCAAGGATTTCCAGGCTTCCCTTCATTTGATGGGCTCAGAGTCTGAGAACTGGCTCAGAACTGAAAGCAAGCCAAGGGTCATATATATACATATATATATTATTATGATGGCTGACAACATCATTCTTCTTGCCAGTTCCTGATCTTTGTTATAGAAGTCAAACGATGGAATCATTGATTCACCTCTGGGAACATCATGGTCTATTAGCTACATCCAATTATCCCTGCATTTCAAACTGCTCTGGATTGTACCCCAACTCTCATATGCATCACTGTCTTCCTCACTGTTTCTGAGCATGGATGACATCTAAAGGAAAAGCTTTCTTTGATTCTTTGATTAGTCCTTTCTCCTCTGCTTCTCTAAACCAAATTTCCTCTGAGAGGACCTCTGTAGCCATGCCTGCACACACCGATAATCCCTTTCATTGCTACATATAAGGTACAGAGCTTTTTACTTGTAAAATGAGCCTTCCCCTTGAGGAATTTTATGTGTACTGACATTCTCTGAGATCTGCAAGTTCTGGGGCATGTTTCTCCATTTTTGGGGTTTTATCTGTTAGTTTTTCTTGCATTGTATTTCCTCTCTCATGGATGCTGCCTTATCCCTACTATGTTTGTCTTCATTCCTAGAACAGTGACTTGGAAACCCTTCACCTCTGTTCACTATGTTGCTGGTTCTTTCTGAGCTCCACCATCTCAGTACACATCATCGCTTTAATATACTCCTTACTTGTAGATCTGCACAATTTCAGCAGATTTTGGTAGCCATTAAATGTTTTTACAATTTACAAATTGTAAATCTCTTCTACTTTTGCTGAAAACAGTGTTCATAGATTTCTTCACCTGCTACTTTCCCCCTGCCTCTGATAACGTTTCCCTTATTGCTTTAGTGATGGCTGGAAAAAGATAGGAAAATGCTATCTCACACCACTCTGCTTATATAACAGTCTCCAGAAAGGGACCATTCAAAAGAAAGAGCCAGAACTTCTTGCTTGGCAAATAAACTTTAATAAATAAAAATTCAAACTTGAAACTCTAGATATGAATGAGGTAGTAATTTATATGTATTAGTAACCAACTAAAATAGTAGACATGGGACCTTGTGTTTTATGTATGCTTGTATGGTCTTATTTATAGTCATTATGGTTTTAATATCTTGAATTTATCATGAACACATTGCCGCTCATAGGAAGTCAATTGACCAGCTTTACCTAATATCAATTTGCACAGCCAGGTTTTGATTCCTGATGCAACTGATTACAAATGCATGCCTAATTTTTTTTTTTCTCCTTTTTTACTTCTTCTACTACATGATGGTGAGAGTAACACGAAAGTTCTTGAAGTCTTGCTGACAAAGAAAAGGTGAATGCTGTTTATACTTCAGAGAGGAAATTCTCATTTTCAGAAAAGCTCTACTTCAGACCAAAGCAACCAAGATGCATGCCACAGATAGGTGGAAGATAAGTTAGTATCACAATTTTTTTCTGATTTATATATGATATGAAAGCCCACAGAAATTCCACATACTTCGATTAAATCATAAAGCACAGTATGCTAATTACAAAATTAGGTGTTGAAAATCATTTAATATTAAATCATAACTTGATTCAAAATTGGCATAATAGAATACATTTTCTATTTCTTAAGCAACTGCAGAAGTAGAAATACTCATCAGTTTGGGGCCTACGGGTATAGTATGGAGATAGCCTAGTTAAAGGAGGAAGTGCTGCTGGGTGTGAAATCTACATATCATTGTTAAATATCAGCACTGTGGATTTCTCTGAATTTCCTTGTACATTATTTTTTCTTTTTAACATCTGAAATCTTTATTAAGGAGGATGTGGTTTGCCATATATATCTAACATGTAATCATATTCTGGGCTGAAATTAGCTGAATATTTCAGTTAGTGTTTTTTAATGTTATTCTTTGATTTACTCTGGTACATAAGTTGTCACTCACATAGTAGCTTTTTTCTTTTTCTCTTGCCTCTACAATGTTAAACTTCAAAGTTGTTATCAGTTACATTTTCACATTTTCATCCTTTGTACTTTTCCATTCTTAAGCTTCCAAATGCTATCAGAGTCCATCAGAGCTGAGGTACAAATTGAATTAAAGAAGATTTTACTCATTCACTATCCACGATGTATTAATTCCTGTCATCTGTAATCTCTCTACCTTATTTGAGGATTACAGAGAATCGATTTCAGCATGACATTGCATTTTATTTTTTTAAGTTGGAAATCAGGCTTGCATTAAAGAGACTCTTCTCTCATTTGTGGAAAGGTTAAACTACAATTGATAATTCAAAATCAGGTACTTGTGATATCACTGAATTAGCAAATAAGTAGATCAAAAAGAAATTAAAATAATATTCACTATATTTCTTGGATAGGTACATGTAGGAAATGACAGGGCAGACGGATAAATAAAAAAGATAATTAGAAAGACCAAAATACAGAAATAAGAAGAAAGAAAGAGATAGGAAAGAAAGAGTAAAAGAGTGAGAGAGAGAAAAAGAAACGGATAGAGAAAAGACAGTTGATGAGATTGTTCATTTGAAATATCCCTCATTATCCAAGCTTAAAAATAATTTCCAAGAGTGATTTTATCATTTCATTACTTTTTTCCCAGTTTCTCCAAATCTTCACCAACCACCTCTAACTTCTGTAAGCATCAGTTTGTTCTCTACAACATTGCCTCTCCTCCCACCCTTGATCTTTCTCTCATGGAGCAATCAGGCTCACTTCTGCATTTCTTCCACCCAGCAGCAATACCATCTGCTCTCCTCCAGGCCTAGTGAGGGGGCTACCTCTGTGAGGTCTACACCTTGTACGTTATGTAGGACAGGGCTTCACATAAGGGCTGGCACTGGGAGAAGGGTAAAATTTTGGAAGCAACAACTTGTAAAAATCAGGCTGATATCTCAGCTTTGCTAGATAAAGGAGTCCTCTGTGGAAATCAAAGTCAATCTATTTTTTTTTTTTTAAGGATTGGCACCTGAGCTAACAACTGTTGCCAATCTTCTTTTTTTTTTTCTGCTTTGTCTTCCCAACCCCCCCGCCCCCCGTACATAGCTGTATATCTTAGTTACAGGTCCTTCTAGTTGTGGGATGTGGGACGCCGACTCAACGTGGCCTGATGAGCGGTGCCATGTCCGCGCCCAAGATCCGAACCCTTGGCCGCCTCAGCGGAGCGCCTGAATTTAACCACTTGGCCACGGAGCCAGCCCCAAAGTCAATCTTGAGAAAGAAGCTGGAATCATGGCGATTGGAAGAAGTGGGGAGAGACACACTGGGAAATTGGAGCAAAGAGTCATGGTGTATCAAGTTGTTTTCTATTAGTGAGTCTAAGAGGTGAAATCCAGCTAAAAACAGGAGTTTAAGCAAATAGGAATTACCTAGACATTAGAAGGGAGTTGAGGAATGGGTAGAGTTGGAGGGCATTGAGTGAGAATCAAGAATAAGGGTAGACACACAGAGGATGCAGAGGACCATGTTGACAGCACTCTCAATTAAATCATGCCACAAGATTTTTGGGTGTGTCTGCTTATTTACGGATGAGAGTTCTCAGCAGTTACTTTGTCCCCCTACCCCCACCTCCAACCTCAACATCTCTGCTTGAAGTTAGAGGGCTTAGACTAGGACATTTTCTTCTACTCTTATACCCTGCAAGTGCGTGATTTGTAGGTAAAGGTAGGTTGTCAAATTACGATCACTTCAAGGTCATTTTCCCAGCAGAAATAAGAAAGCTCATAGGGGCTCTCTCTGGAAATGCCTGAGCTTCTTTTTAGGATAATAAGGCATTTGGTCTGCAGCCATGACTCATACCCTATTTGGGATTCACTAACTGCCTGTCCCCACTGTGGTAAGACTTTAAAAGAGTTTGATAGCTTGAATGCCTTGGTCTTCATGACTTATGTATACCAATTTCAACAGGCTGAAAGCAAATTTGCCAAGTCTGGAAAGTGGTCAGCATTTCAAGCATGTGAAACTTGTATGGCCAGAGCTCTAAGCAAAGTGCAATATTAACCTGTCTGTGCAATGCAAGGAGTCATGAATATTTTACAAACTAGTGTTACTGTATAAATAAATGTTTATTGAACTGAACTGAAACAGTCATAATAAACGTGAGGGTAATGTTTACAGAGTTTTAAACTTGGTCCTATGAATTAAACAAAACATTTCTCACCCAGCAGTGCAGGGCAGCAGCAGAATCAGGGTAGAAATTGTTAAATAAGCTAAAGAGAACACTGGACTCTTGCGGTGTATTTTCTTCTCTTGTGAAGTTTTCTGTGAGAGAGCATTTGTTCCTGCTCTAGGCTTTCACAAACACTAAGTGCTCAGGCAGGAGACAGAAAGAAGTGAATATGCTGGGGCACCCTCACACTCTGCTTTCCTCATCCCTATCAACATCTGTGGGTGAAGTCTAGATAAAGGGCATTTTTCAAAAAAGTATTGGTGTAGAAGGAAGCAGGTCACCAAGACTATCCATGCACAGTGACAACCAGATGGCTCTAGATGTGAGAAGGATGGCTTGTCTATGTAGTTTTTGGTGACACTTGCTTTTGATGTTATCTAGAATGCTCTGCAAACCCATGTATCTTGAGCATCAGTCAGCACTTTAACCTACTCCCACAGCTGCTCTGGACGATCATCCCTGGAGGAAAGGGAGCTCAGTGAGAGGCAACATCCTCTTCCAAACAGAAGAAGGTAACAGTGCCTGGGCTCACCCATAGAGAGGTTAAATCAATTAACGGAAATACTTGAGAAAGACCTACATTTCCAACAAAACCTCCCCCCTTGATGGGCATGCTGCTGGTCTCTGGACTCCCATGTTTCTCACTGAGTGGCAAGAGGAAGTCTAGGCTCTTATTCATTTCTAGTATTTCACACCTTGCAGTGTGGGTCTCACCTCCGGAAATGGTTAGTTGCTGTTTTCAGACATCTTAGAGAACAGTTTGAAGGACATTTTGGACGCATCTTAGCCTGAGTCAATTGAAGAGATTTCTGAGCTACCTTGGGCAAGTTCGGCAGCGAGAGCAATGAGTGCTTCACTCCTGCTGCTTCATGGCATGTTAGCTTGGAAGAGGCACAGCCTGTGAAACCTTAGGGTTGGAATCCTTATTAGATGCCTCTTTTTAGCTATGTGATTTGGGGCAAACTATTTTGTCTCACAGCATGAACTTACTCACTTGTAAAGTACATAATTATTCATATCATTATTAATATTGTTAAATTTAAAAATAGAAGTAAAGCATTTACTGAATCTCTTACGTCCTAGACAACAAGCAATAATTCTAACATTGCCAGGCCACTTTTCCCCTCATCCCGTCTGTCTCTTTCCTTTCTTCCCTTCCTTTGTGACTTCCAATAGATCTGCCACAAGATAGATAGACTCCATATAAGAAAAAAATGCATGGATAGAATAAAGAGTATCACCTACTTAGCTACTACTGTCTAAGAATAAGTACAACATATGCTAATTTAACAAGATGCTATAACACACTGAGAAATTCCAGCTTTCTTCAATTTTGTGCTTTTTTTCTCTCAATCAGTTTGACTCAATATATTTATTAACTCATTCCTTGTCAAACTCTTCCCATTTCCAAATGGCAAGTGTTTTTGAGTGACAATCCTTTATTTTTATTTAAATTCTCACAATAGTGAACGATATGATGTTTTATTCTAGTTGTATTTTTCTATATCTATATTTGCATATTATTATGTATGTCTAATTGTGTGATATTCCTATCAATAAAAGGCCAAAAGTTTGAGCCTAAATAAATTACAGGATCATTTACAATGTGTCCCATGCTGAATAATGGTCCTGCCACAGATATTTACGTTCTAATCCCTAGGACCTGTGACTATGTCAGGGGAATTAGGATCGCAGACGGAATTACGCTTCTCAATCATCTGAACTTAAGATGAGCTTAGCCTTCATTATTCAGGTGGGCCCAGTGCAGTCACTAGAATCCTTAAAGCGGAAGAGAGAATTAGACGTCAAATTCAGAAGTCTGAAGAGAATCAGATACACGGCAGTGTGGGAAGAATTTGGCCCAAAGTTGCTCTCTTTGAAGATGGAGGAATGGGCCGTGAGTCAAGGATTACAGTGGCCTCCACAAATAGCAAAAGGCAAAGAAACAGATTCTTTGCTAGATCTTCTGAAAAGAAATTATCCTTATTATACCTTGATCCTTACAGTGAGATCCATGTCAGATTTATATTATACATAACTATAAGGAAATAAATTTGCATTGTTTGAAGCCACTGTTTGTGGTAATTTGTTGCAGCAGCAGCAGTAGAAACCTAATGTAGAATACAGGGTATAATGAGGAGTTACAGAAAACTTAGAACCACAATAATTTCCCAAGATATTACAGACTGCAAACTCTTGTGCTTGGTGGAAATATTGATTTTGTTTTGTGGATGCCAGCCCAAGAGCTGGCTCTTGGGTAACTCCACAGATCTCGGTTGACACCATGCTTATTTCTTTTTTTGTCAACAGGAAGCCTGTCTTCTCTTTCACAGTACATTTCAACATACAACAAAAGAAACATTTGTATTATTATGACTAGAATGAATTACTGTGATGACTGGGGAAATATGAATATAATTACATTATACAATTATAATTTATATTTGTATTCACATATTGATATGTTTATAATTATATTCTATTTTAAATATATATCAATAAACTATATGTAATATATATTTATGTATATGTTATTTATTTATATAAAGTATACAAATATATATATAATAATTATTAATATTTTATAGAATAGGCAAAAATATTTCCACCTACTCCCCATCTAAGGGAAGAAATAAAACTATATCACAGTCGAGTAAACATCCCAATGTAGCTAAAAATAAGACTTACAGTAGATTAATTATTTTTCTTCTGCTAGATATATTCCCAGAACACTTTAGGCTAAAAAAAGTAGTGTCTTCATACTTTAAGATATTTTTAGAGAACAATATTAAAAAATTGTGATTTAGGTAATACTTCATGGCAGCATGCTGTCATAAATTTAAGACTATTAGGTAAATTGTTTTATACATTTCATTTGTAGATTACCACAAATCTTCATATACTTCATTTTTTAATCTAATGTCATATATTAAGTAGATAAAACTTTGAAAATAGAATACCTAAAAAGTTTCACTTTCATGGTGTGAGTCAAAGATAATAAACCTTCCTGTGTCTTTTAAGTGTTTGATACAAAGTAAAGAGAAGACTCTAGGTACATTTCTGGCTAACAAAGTCATAATGAAAGTCATTGCAGTAAGAATAAAAGCAGAGAGCAAATCCTTGAGGATGAATATCTGTGAATTTAATTATTGGATGTATCTTCATATAACTTGACAAATAATTTAAATTTCTCATTAACATTTAAATGTCCAAAATATATATTTATTGGATTTTTTAATTGATAATTTGTCACAATTGAACATAATAAGGCTAAGATATGTACCTTGGAGAAACAAAAAACATGTTTGTATGGCTAGCCATATATATCAGTTGGTTAAAAGTTTTCCAGGAAGTTACTTTAACATATTATTTATCATTATGTGAATTTAATGTACAATGTAGACAATCTCAAAACACAGGAGAGTTACAAAAAGAATATGAAAATTACCATAATTCTGCTACTGAAAGACGTTTAAAGTCAATATTTTGATTATGTTTCACATTTTTATAGAGTTCGTACTGACCCTACTACATCTTAATTCACTTAATCAAGTTTTTTTAAATTCAGAAATTAAGGTTATTTTCTTTAAAATAAAAATGTTACTGTAAAATGCACCATATAGGTGAATTTTGTCATTGCCAAGATGCTTTCATGGGAGTGGTTTCCAACAGTGGAATTGCTGAGTCAGAGAAAATGTACAATTTAAAAATGTTGACAGCTAATTTCAAACTCTTTCCACCAGAAATATTTATACACGTCCGTATACCCGTAAATTCAACAACACTAAAATGTTGTTATTAACTTCTCGTTTATGTTGTTTTATTTTGTGCAGTGTTTACTCATATCCCATTTTTCTGTTGGGATTTTTCATGATTTTTACTTGTTAGAAATTTTAATGATCTTGTATGTTCATGGATACCATGAGTGTTT